ACTTTTTTGTCTCTTTAGTGTACAGTACCTGGTGTAGTCCATGATGGTGTTGAGGCGATGAGCTATGGTGAGGACAGTGCAGTCCTCAAACTGAGAGCGGAGGGTGGACTGGATCAGGTTATCCGTCTCCATGTCTACAGCTGCCGTGGCCTCATCGAGAACAAGGATCCTAGTCTTCCTCAGCAAAGCTCTGGCTAGGCACAGCAGCTGCCGCTGACCCACACTGAAGGAGAAGCAGACCGTATCAAAGGCAGAAAGCCCTGCTCCAGCTCTTTATCCAACGACTGCTATATGCACTGTTGCCCCATAGCTAGTGTACTGTACACCTGCAAGAAACGCAGGTGTTCCTAAACGTGCTTGACGAGTGTGCACACTAACGTGTTTTTCAAAGAAGCTGTGAACCTGGGATACTTTGTATCTCATTTCTAATTCAGTTTCTAATTTGTGGTTGCTTGGACGTATAAAGCAGTCATACCTCAGGTTCTCTCCTCCTTCACTGCAGTCGTGGTTAAGCTTGTTGGGCAGGCTGGACACAAAGGTCTTAAGATGGGAGAATTCCAAAGCCCGCCATACTTCCTCGTCAGTGTAGGAGTCAAAAGGATCCAAGTTCATCCTCAAGGAGCCTGAAAACAGCACCGGGTCCTGTGGAAGAGAACAGTGTCTTATGCTGGGATTTTTTCACCATTTTGAGACGTTTTTCAGTCGTGCGACCGTTCTGGGGAACGGCGCCAGTTTCGCCTTCATCGTGTGTCGTGCATCGTGTAGTATACGTGGGGTAACGAGAAGCGATTAACACCTCACGACCAGCTCCCGATCATCAATCGTTTGGTCGTAAGAAAATCAAACCTGTTTGAAATCCTGTCGCCCTTCGGGACGACGTCACCGCAGCCTCTCACACTGCGCACGCGCAAACACAGACGTGAAGGTGAAAAGGCGGCACGGCAGCGTGTGACACAAGCGATGGAGGCACAACTTTGAAGCGGCTCAGATGAGCCGATGTGGCCTCACAAAATGATCACGACTACAACAACCGTGAAAAGAGTTGGATGGACGTTGCTGTTCAATGGCAGCGGCCTGGCCAATGTTTCCATTAGCAAAGTTGGTGTGTGTGTAT